TCCTCTCCAACATAAGTCATCACTGGTGTTTCTTATTTTAGTCATTCTGGTAGGGGTAAGATGGTATCTCAAAGTTGTTTTGATTTGCATTTCCCTGATAGCTAAGGATGTGGAGCATTTTCTTAAGTGCCTTTCAGCCTTTTTGATTTCCTCCATTGAGAATTCTTTCTTCAGTTCTGTACTCCATTTATTAATAGTGTTATTTGGTGTTTTGTTGACTAGTTTCTTGAGTTCTTTGTTTTGGAGATCAGCCCTTTGTCGGATATAGGATTGGTGAAAATCTTTTCCCAGTCTGTGGGCTGCCGTTTGGTCTTGTCGACTGTGTCCTTTGCCTTACAGAAGCTTCTAAGTTTGAAGAGGTCCCATTTATTAATTGTTGCTCTCAGTGTCTGTGCCCCTGGAGTTATGTTCAGGAAGCAGTCTCCTATACCAATTTGTTCAAGGGTACCTCCTACTTTCTCTTCTAAGAGGTTCAATGTGGCCGAATTGATGTTGAGCTCCTTGAGACATTTGGACTTGAGTTTTGTACATGGCAACAGACATGGGTCTATCTGCAGTCTTCTACACACCCTCATCCAATTGTGCCAGCACCATTTGTTGAAGATGCTGTCCTTGCCCCATTATATAATTTTAGCTGTTTTGTCGAAAATCAGGTGTTCATAGGTGCGTGGATTAATATCAGGATTTTCAATTTGATTCCATTGGCCTACCTGACTATTGTTATGCCAATACCAGGCTGTTTTCAGAACTATAGCTCTGTAGTAGAGCTTAAAGTCAGGAATGGTGATGCCTCCTGATGTTCTTTTATTGTATAGGGTTGTTTTGGCTATCCTGGGTCTTTTGTTTTTCTATATAAAGTTGATTATTATCCTTTCAAGGTCGGTGAAGAATTGTGGTGGGATTTTAATGGGGATTGCATTGAATCTGTAGATTGCTTTTGGTAAGATTGCCATTTTTACTATGTTAATCCTACCTAACCAAGAGCATGGGAGATCTTTCCATTTTCTGGTATCTTCTTTAATTTCTTTCCTTAGAGTCACAAAATTCTTATTATATAGGTCTTTTACTTGTTTGGTAAGCATTACACCAAGATACTTTATGTTGCTTGTGGCTATTGTAAAGGGTGATGTTTCTCTGATTTCTTTCTCTGCCTCTTTGTCGTCTGAAAAAATTAGGGCTACTGATTTTTTTGAGTTGATCTTGTATCCTGCTAGTTTGCTGAAGGTGTTTATCAGCTGTAGGAGTTCCCTGGTAGAGTTTATTGGGTCGCTTATGTAAACTATCATATCATCTGCAAATAGAGACAGTTTGACGTCTTCCTTTCCAATTTGGATCCCCTTGATCTCCTTTTGTTGTTTTATAGCATTAGCTAGAACTTCTAGTACGATATTGAAGAGATATGGAGAGAGAGGACAGCCTCGTCTTGTTCCTGATTTTAGAGGAATTAGCTTAAGTTTCTCTCCATTCAGTTTGATGTTGGCAGTTGGTTTGCTGTATATTGCCCTTATTATGTTTAGGTATGTTCCTGTTATCCCTGACCTCTCCAAGACCTTTATCATGAAAGGGTGTTGAATTTTGTCGAAGGCTTTTTCCGCATCTAAGGAGATAATCATATGGCTTTTCTTTTTCTGTTTGTTTATATGGTGGATCACGTTGATAGATTTTCGTATGTTAAACCATCCCTGCATTCCAGGTATGAAGCCTACTTGGTCATGATGGATGATTTCTCTGATGTATTCTTGAATTCGGTTTGCCAGTATTTTATTGAGTATTTTTGCATCGATGTTCATAGGGGATATTGGTCTGTAGTTTTCTTTTTTAGTTGTGTCTTTGTGAGGTTTGGGTACCAAAGTTATTGTGGCCTCATAAAAAGAGTTTGGCAATGAACCTTCTGTTTCTATCTTGTGGAACAGTTTGAGGAGTAGTGGTATTAGTTCTTCCTTGAATGTCTGGTAGAATTCTGCACTGAATCCATCTGGCCCTGAACTTTTTTTGGTTGGAAGGCTTTCGATGACTGCTTCTATTTCATTTCGGGATATAGGTCTATTTAAGTTGTTTGTTTGTTCTTTATTTAATTTTGGTAAGTGATAGTTACCCAGAAACTTGCGTTTTCAATTTTTGTGGAATACAGGTTTTCAAAGTATGACCTGAAAATTGTCTGGATTTCCTCTGTGTCTGTTGTTATGTTCCCCATTTCATTTCTGATTTTGTTAATTTGCATGTTCTGTCTCTGATTTTTCATTAATTTGGATAAAGGTTTGTCTATCTTGTTGATTTTCTCAAAAAAAACAACTCTTTGTTGCATTGATTTTTTGTATTGTTTTCCTGGTTTCTATTTTGTTGATTTCAGCCCTCAAGTTGATTATTTCCTGGCGTCTACTCCTGCGGGGTGAATTCGCTTCTCTCTGTTCTAAGACTTTCAGTTGGGCTGTTAATTCTCTTATGTGACTATCCTGTTTTCTTCATATGGGCACTTAGTACAATGAACTTCCCTGGTAGCACTGCTTTCAAGGTGTCCCATAAGTTCAGGTATGTTGTATCCTCATTCTCGTTGAATATTAGAAAGTCTTTAATTTCTTTCTTTATTTCTTCTTTGACCCAGGAGTGGTGTAATTGCACATTGTTCAGTTTCCATGAGTTTGCAGGTTTTCTGCTATTTGTGTTGTTGTTGAATTTCAATTTTAAAGCATGGTGGTCCGATAAGATACATGGGACTATTCCTATTCTCTTGTATCTGTTGAGGTTTGTTATGTCACCTAGTATGTGGTCGATTTTAGAGAAGGTTCCATGTGGAGCAGAGAAGAAGGTATATTCTTTTGTCTTTGGATGGAATGTTCTATAGATGTCTGTTAACCCCAGTTGAGACATAACTTCTGTTAATTCTTTTGTTTCTTTGTTGAGTTTCTGATTTGTGGTCCTGTCTAGTGTTGAGAGTGGTGTATTGAAGTCTCCCACTATAAGTGTGTGAGGTTTTATATGAGCTTTGAGTTTTAGTAGTGTTTCTTTTACGAATGTGGGTGACTTTGTATTGTCTCGCTTTTTTTTTTTTTTTACTTTGTTTTGTTTTGTTCCAGATTGTTTTAGCCACCTTGATTTTTGTGTTTCCAAACAAATATAGGGTTTTGTTTTGCTTTGCTTTGTTTTTCAAATTCTGTGAAGAACTATGTCAGAATTCTAATCCTCTAATCCATGAGAATGGGGGGCTTTCCAGTGAGGTCTCTATTCTGTGTATTGAGGTTCCAGGATCATTTTAGCTTAGGTTTTCATTCACAATTCTATTGCTTCATTGTGTTGTATTTTCATATCTTGGATTAACTTTCCCATTCATCTCTTTGTTTTGCTCTCTAGAAGTATACTCATGCCTTCTTTGAGTTGCTTGAACATACTTATAATCATTCTTTCGGAACAGAAGTTCTTCCATGCAATTTTCATTACCTGTCATTATTATGGGATTAGAGATTTGTAAAGGTCATGGCTTTTCATATTGTCTCTGTGCCTGAAATACTCTGATTACAGAGACACAGAAAAAGACTGGAAGATAAAAATAAATAAGTAATAGCACACTGCATTCTAAGACATGAGTTTGGTGACTATTAGGCTACTCTTGTCAGAAATTCCAGGAAAAAAATAATTCCTCACAGTATGTCTTAGTTAGGGTTTTCTATTGCTCTGATGAAACATAATGACCAGAAGTAGCTTGGAGAGGAAAGTGTTTATTTCACTCACATTTCCATATAACAGTTCATTACTGAAAGCAATGAGGAACTCAGAGCAGGAACCTAGAGACAGCAACTGATGTAGAAATCATGGAGGAGTGCTACTTATTGGCTTGTTCCCCATGGGTTACTCAGCCTACTTTCTAATAGAACCCAAGGTCATGAGCCCAATGGTAGTGTTATCCACAATGGACAGGGGGGTGAGTGGGGGCAGAAGGCAGTGGGCAGGACCCTATTGCCCTCCCCTATCATCATTCACTAATTAATAAAATGCTCTATAGGCTTGCCTACAGCTCAGTCTTATGGAGGCATTTTTCTTAATTGAGGGTCCCTCCTTTCACATGACTTCAGTTATGTCGAGTTCACATAAAACTAGCAGCACAGTATCATACATGGGCTAGTAACATCAAGGAATAAAACTAAGTCCATATTACACAAAAGTCACCAAATACACCATTTTGCTTTAGAAGAAAGAGAGAATGATGCAATTTTAAAGCCAGTGAGAAACACCCTATCGTATAAAAAGGTTTTTTTTTTTTTTTTAAATTCATTTTGTTCCCACGGCTTGCTTTTATAGAGAAGAAACATTTCTAATTTTAAGAAGTTCAAATTATTTCCAAATCTTACATAGCAGCATTCAAGGTGGCAGTATAGGATTTCTTTTGCCTTTGCTTCCCCATCTATTTCAATACTGCGTGAGTCACATTTGCAGTTCAAATTAGGAGCCAGAACTAGACTTACATCTCAGTTTTCTATTACCTTGCAAGGTGGGAAGGTGTATGGTTCTTGCTGATTTGACATACATTTCCCTTCTTATTTTACATGCAGTATTGTCAGCACACAAACTACCAGGCAAAACTTTGCTGTAAAGAGCCCTCTTGTCTGTAAGAGCCCATATGCCAGGATGTTCATCTGACCTTGCACAGCAGGAACTAGAAGGCCAATGCCCATCTTGGCACAAGCTGGCCAGGATTAACATGATGGCCACTGGCCAACATTAGCTGCCTCACTGAGCTCTAGTGTATCACCCCTGTCCACCAAATTCAAAGGGCAACATTTGTGGCTTATGAAGTTTGGGGAAAATAAAAACACAGAATCCCCTACGCATAAAATCTCATTAGTATCTTCCTCCAGATGAAAAGAGCAGAAGAAACACAGTCTTTGAAATTGTTCCGCTCAGATTCACCATTCACATATGCTCTATCCACAGCATCCAGCATCCGCAAAGGCGTCCACTGTGACTAATGTCTGGCATTCTTCCTGTGTGTTCTCTTTCCTTCCTAGAACACTTGAAGGATAAGTTAGAGGATTACATGGCTCGGTTTTCCAAAGTGAGAATTGTTCGCACCAAGAAAAGGGAAGGGCTCATCCGGACCCGACTTCTGGGAGCTTCTATGGCCAGAGGCGAGGTGCTGACCTTCCTGGACTCCCATTGTGAGGTCAATGTGAACTGGCTGCCCCCACTCCTCAGTGAGTATATTATGTAGCCATCATTCTCACAGTGGCACACTGGACCCGGGATGCTGGCAACTGGGCCCTGCTAATAAAGTGCCAGGTTTCTTCTGTAGATGCTGCAGTCAAGAAAGAATTGAATTTGAATTGTATCTTCATCACTGCTGATGAATTCAATAGCATTTCAGATAGGAGCAGTGGCAATCTAACTTAAGGTTAGGAAGGTTTCTTTTATAGTACGTCTTCTTGCATTGCATTTACATTTATTGGGTAAACACTAAAGTAAAAAAGAATAGCATCAGACTATTTTTCAGTCATCCTATAATTAGAATGAGATCAAGGTACACATACCCATGTATAGGCATATACACACTTGCAACAGTTATCACAAGATGGTTAAGAAAGAAGGAACAGCTGGGTGGTGGTAGTGCACACTTTAATCCCAGCACTCTGGGTGCAGAAAGGAAGAAAGGAACATTATTTAGCCCCAGGATATCTAAGTGACTTGCCATTTTTTCAGATGTATAATGCCATTGTCTTTTTGTATTTCTTTCCAGTCCTGGTATTATCTTACATTGTTAAATGTACAGTCCTCCATGTTCACACAGAGCCGCTCAGACACTGAGCTGTTGTCTGGGTGATAAGGACTCTTAAGTGATCAGTTATGGCTAACACAGAGAAGGAAGCAAACTATCCCATGTCACATGGCTCTGAACCACTAGAGACATAAACAACCTCAATATCATTCCAGTTAGAAACTCCAACTGTGGCTCAATTCAAGCCTCAATGTTGGTGCTTTGTTAGTTTACAATGAAGTCAGATAAAAAACCACATTGTGCCTAAGGAAGAAATTTCATGCCTAAAGAAATTCTTTCTAGAAAATTCTTAGTTAAAAAAATACATACACACACACACACACACACACACACACACACACACACACATATATATATATATATATATATATATATATATATATATATATAGTCCTCCTTTCTTATTCTCTGAGATTTCTCCAAAGCAAGTTTTATTGCAACTATATCCCTGGCTTTATTTATAAATAAATATAAATAAAGCCAGGGACAGCCACCTTCACCACCACCACCTCAGAAAGTGCTCTGTTTTTAACTATTATGTGGAATTTCAGCTTCAACCAGCCAAGCTACACCAGGAAAAAGCAAGACAAGGGTCTCAGTGACATCCATATAGGATATAAAACACAACACCCAGCAACTATCACCCTCTCCCAAATCACCCAGTTCATATGTCTCTGCACAGGTGGCTGCCTAGCCTTCTCAATGAACAAGATCTCAAGACCACAACAGCCAGAGACTCCCCTGCACCTTTAATTAAAAGTGCTTTGTCCAATGACACAGACATTTAGAATTCCATTAGCAATTGCAAGAGTCCCTCAAACTGAATTTTACCTGTATGCTGTCCAAGCAACCCCTAAATTACCAGACCTCTGATGGTTCACTGTGAATCACAGGGAAAGGGGGGATGGGAAAAAAAGACGCCACAGCCCACTCTTTCTCATTAAAGCATTTCATTTCCTGTGGGCCTGATGGATAAGAAGTGATTCAAGCTCGGGATGCTATCTCTCTTTATTTTCCTCTATCAGTATCTTGATACATCATCCAAAATGAAGAAACAGGCGGAGCGACATAGTTGCTTCTTGGTTCATTTTTCACCTTGGGGATTATACCTGAATTTCAATTTCCTATGGAGTCTGTTTGTTTGATCCCTGGAAATTGAAATGTAGCCACCAGCCTTGGATGAAAAATTAGTCATGCGGCTCTCACCCCAAGCTAGTACAGCTGGATGAGAGCTTAAAGAAAATTTTAAGGGAACGTTGACAGTTCATTTAACAGACTCATTCTCTTTGGATCACCTTGGAACTCCTTGTTGGTCAAGGAACTTGTAAATCAAGCTGGTTCTGAATTCGATGGAAGAAAGTCACTGGAACCATAATACTAAAAGCTGCGGAGGTAATCAGCAAACTGTTTCCAACCTCACTCTGATGGTCTTCTCCATCCTCTGGGGAAATGTCACTTAGATAAAACCAAAACCCACAATAAGTCTTGCCCTAGTGAAAATAGATGCTCCTGAGCCCAAGGTGGCAGTTACCCGGACATGGGACATCTGCTAATTAGCTGGCACTAAGAGAAATACAGTCCCTGGCTCTCTGAAACTCCTTGGGGCCATGGTGTCTAAAGCTGCCTCTTTTTCCATACTCCAGAATTCTGCATCCCGCTTACCACTGTTCTTTGTCTTATTTTTCTCAAAAGACTCTGTAAGATTTAGTTATTTATTATATTTTATGATTTATGCCCCATTCCTGAATACAATTGTATTTGTAGTATATTCTCTACACTAGCCTTAGAACTGAAAAAAAAAATGATTATACCATTCTTTTTACTGAGCAAATAATTATTGTAACATGAATGAATGAATGAATGAATGAATGAATGAATGAGCATGTGTAATTACAAGGTTACTGCCCTATGGGATTTTTGTTTTTCTCCACAACCTGTTTTATTAGTATGGTAAAAATGTCACCTGTTATTATAGCCAATAAAACCCTTTGTTTCCTGCTCTATGCTACGTAAAAACTCCCCAAGTACATGGACAGTTTCCTCATTGCAAAAAGCTGATCTCTCTCACACATGTTACAGTAGCTTCAGGATCTCTGAGAGAGAAAAATTGCACAGAAATAACCAACTCCCATCATATTTCTAAACGATATCCTTTGTTAAATGTCACATGCCACATCCAAAGGTCTTCCAAATAACAAGAGAGCAGGTGTTCATACTTAAACATCCTGCCTGTCAGATAGCAGTTCTTGTAATAAATTGATTAAATGCATGTTCTTGGGGGAGAGGGGGAGAGATACTTCACATACTGCTATTCTACATGCACCAAAACAAACAAGTGCCAGTTTCCCGCAGGGTCTATTAATTCCACCACACACACACACACACACACACACACACACACACACACACGCACACACACATGCACACACACACACAAAAAAAATATCTGGGTAGAAAAGCAAGATGCTGGAACTGGAAAGAAAAGTCACCTGTCTGCTAGGAGAAGCACCATGGCAACCTGGAAAAGCAGGTTTTGGAGATGGAGAGTGGAGCAGAGGCTGTATCCTCATTACTATTCCCAAACCTGAGTAGCCTTTAACAAGTTGTTTGACTTCTCTGAGCTGTGTTTTGCTGTATATAAACTGGATGACAACAGCCCCTTTTCAAGGAATAGTGGGAGTATCAGAAAGAGAATGAGTATAAACACCCTGGGTTTACCAGCGGCATCCCTAGCAATAGCACCGTGTCATTAATTGGATGGGGGAAGAAAAGGATAAAATGTGCACAGCACTGATAAGTAGAGTCTGTCTCAAAGAACAGTGGCTCAACAAATTCTCTGTCAAACTTGACAGCAAGGAATTTTATATGTAATTGGTTGGCATTAAGGAGGGGGGAACAGCCATCATGACTGTTTTATGATCAGATGCTATAAAAACCATGAAGTTAAATATTTACATTTTGGAACCTTCAGAAAGCAGGCCAGTATTTTCTCAGCAGGCTTTAGCTGTATGCTTGGAGGAACACAAGTACTGTTTATACTCTGTGCATGTTAGAGGCACGTTAAAATGACAGATTGGGGACAGGTCAGAGCAAAAATGTGACAGAGTAGAGCTAAATGGACTTCTGCAAGTCTCTCTGGGACATAACTTTCTTAAAGGAAAATATAACAACTCTAATTGTACCTAATCACTGTCCCATCATGTTAAGCCCGATGCTCAGAGATTCCTGCAAAGTGCTCTAATGACGACAGGGAGACGCCAAGGCTGCAAGTGTTAGGCATTAAAAGGAGCTGTGGGTGTCTCTTTGCTGGAAAATGATAGATGACCTAGGCAGGCATGTCATTTCCTATTTTGTGCTTTCATTTTTCAGACCAAATTGCACTAAACCACAAAACCATCGTGTGTCCTATGATCGATGTCATTGACCACAATCACTTTGGGTATGAGGCACAAGCTGGGGATGCCATGCGAGGCGCCTTCGACTGGGAAATGTACTACAAAAGAATCCCCATCCCTCCAGAGCTCCAGAGGGCTGACCCCAGCGAGCCTTTCGAGTGAGTAGCAGCTGAGGGAGCAGGGAGGGAAAGGGCAGATGACAGGTGATGTTTCTAGTATGTCAAACTCAGAACCCATGAGGACAATAACCCCTGATGAAATGTAATAAAACAGGTGGTAACAATATGCAAAACACCATAGAAAGGTCCGACATGTGAGCTATAGTAGATTAAAATTACATGCTGTGCTAAATACATAGATCACCATCTTCAATACTGCTAAGCATAAGGGAAAGCGTGTGTTAATGAAAAGAGCCAGAAACAGATACCCTTTAAAAAAAAATACAAAGAAACTGCATGCTCCATTTTAAGATATTCTCTTCAGATTTTCAGGATGTTTATTCTAGCCATTTCCCCTAAAAGACTATTCAGATTAACTCTTTGTTCTTCTTTTATTGAGGATTAGTACAAAGTAGGGATTAGAGCTATCTTCTTTCAAGGAAAGCCAGTGCCCCCAAGATTGTACTTCCATAGCTTAACATCAGAGACTCCCATTGAAAACAAAACCCAAAGTAAATAATAAATCACCCTTCTCCTAATTTAAGTCCTTGTAGGAGATGAACTTGTAATAACCCACTGACTGACCCCTACAGAGATGTATCCTGTTGGTGTTGGTTGTGGGTATGAAAATTGGACATTTCAACAAATAGATGCAGGAAAGCTTAGCTTAACAACCACCAGCACTGTTAATGGTGAAGAGTGAGATGTTCCCAGTGGTTAGCAGAGACTGCCCAGTGTGTATTACAGCTAGTCCAGTCTATAGCCCTTGAGAGCACTAAAATCTTTATCATTTTAACACTCTTGTATACTTTTTAGTGTGCAACAGCTATCTGTGATCACGACTTTCCTCACACTCTGTAGAAATCCATTTAAGGTGCATTAAAATCAGTGCTGTCTTTTCATCAAATAATAGCAGCCATAAAAGTTTGCCGTAGGAAAGTTACCAAACACTAAAGCAACTTTGGTTGACACTAACCATCTAAATTCTAATAAACATTTAGTAATTCCCAGGAAAGTGTTTCCTCCATTTCAAGTCTCTGCAAAGATGAACTTCTGGGTGAGTAATTGGGATCTGAGAAGTTAGTCACTAGATAAAGAGGAGAAAAGTCATCTCTCTTGTAAAATGAAACATAGTCATTAACCATGCAGTGCTTCCGGAGTTAGGATTTCAACCTCTCAAATTACTGGGAAGTGTTTGAAAAGAAATAATGAAGGGCCTTTATTGCTCTCCCATATGCCTTGACCAAAGTTCATGAATATTCAGAACTGCTATAAAAATGTATAGGGATCTATTTGAAGGACTTTCTTACAAGCCTTAAAAGCAGGCCCAGCTGAGAACAGCTTCTCAGATATCCCTGAAGGCAGCTATCACAAAGCTTTGTCAAAGGCTCTTACAGCAGGATAAGTAAGTGATGAGTTGGTATGTAACAACAGGTTTGATTTAAACCCTCTCTCAGGTGCGTGCATGTGTGTTTCCAAGGATGTCATAGGCCACAAACACATACAACTTTTATTTACTGAATTTCTAACTTGATAAATAAGTTAAAATGTAATATGGAAATTAAAATTAAAAATTGACTGATTTTTTTTGTTTTAGATGAAGGAGAGACTATATCTTAGTGAGGGTGTCTATTGTTATAATGAAATTCCATGATCAAAAGCAAATTGGGGAGGAACGCTTATTTCATCTTACAACTTATAGTCCATCATGCGGGTGACTCAGGGCAAAAACTCAAGGCAGGAACCTGAAGACAGGAAATGATGCTGAGGTCATGGAGGTGTACTACTCTGCTGATGGAGGATGTCCTTCTGTACATATGTTTTTATGGCGTCTCTGTGTGTTTATTTGGGGCTGAAGCAGCAGGACCCCATGGGACAACAAAACTACATCAACACTCTGCTGGATAGTTTTATGTCAAATTGACACAAACTATAGACATCTGAGAGAGGGAAACTTAGTTGGGCTGTAGGCAAACATGTAGAGCATTTTCTTACTTCGTAGTTGATGTGGGAGGGCCCATCCACTCCATGTGCCTGTACCATCATGGGATGGTCATCCTGGCTTCTATAAGAAACCAGGCAGAGCAAGCCATGAGGAGCAAGCTAGTAAGCAATACTCCTACAAGATCTCTGTATGAGGTTCTGACTCTAGGTTCCTGCTGTGTTTGAGTTCCTGCCCTGACTTTCTTCTGTGGTCAATGATGTGGAGTTGTAAACCAAACAAACATTTTCCTCCCCAATTTGCTCTGGGTCCTGGTGTTTCATCGAGCAATAGAAATTCTAACTAAAACAGCTGCTTACTGATTTGCTTCCCTTGGTTGAGCCTGCTTTTTTATACCATCAGGGATCACCTGTCCAGTGGTGGAACCACCCACAAGGGGCTGGGCCCTCCCTCATCAGTCACTGATCAAGAAAAAGCCCTACAGACTTAGGCCAATTCTATAGAAGTGTTTTCATATAATTAAGATTCCTTCTTCCCTGGTGAACTTGTAGCAATTTGATATAAAAACTAGTCAACACAAGATATGCAAACAGATGTGCCACAGACACCACAGAACCTTTCTCAGGTGGCAGATAATGAGAGCCTGTCCATAGTGCAATTGGTACTATCCAGGTCACCATGTGGGAAAGGCTAGAATTCATCCCTACAATGGCATTCCAAATAGTGTAATAATGGCCCCATGTATTGTCCTTTTACATCACTTCCACAGCAAAATGAGGTCTGCTTTCAGAAACGATGGGATCAAACTTCCTCCAAAGGGCACTCTAAAGCTTCAGGCTGTAAAAGTATTCTCTGTGCCTGCACTGACAGTGAAATTTTTATCAGGCCAACCCCGGCTGTGGCCATCATAATATTGAGCACTTTACTTAACCCTGCCTCTGACAGAATTGGTAACTTTCCAAACGAGATTACCACTCATTCCTATCAACCACTTAGGTGGTGGCTGTCCTGTCAGAAATTGCCCTTGTCTATTGAATATTACTGTCTTTCTGTGTTAAGTCCCTTTGATGCCTGGGAATGCAGACACTTTAGCCTTTTGTAATAAATGTAACTTCCAGGAGGCGTCCACTTTGATCTTAAAAATGGCATTTGCCTTCCTAATAACAAAAGAACAGTTACCCAAGCACTCTGAGCAGCGTATCAGCAATTCCATTATCTCAGCAGTCACCAGAATGTGTTCATAAACAGACATGCTTTAGGCTAGAGTTTGCTTCTGTAGATGTGTGGATTTAAGATACTCAGGATGAATGCCGACTATCTATACATCTCTCCAAGTCTTTCATGTTTCGAGAGGCTTTGGGGATGAGTAGCTTTCCCTCAGAAGATGGGGACAAATTTGGAAAGGTATGCAGAAAGGAACTTAAGAGGAATATGGAAATTCATTGCAAACCACAAGACCTTTATATATATATATATATATATATATATATATATATATATATATATACGTATATATATATATATGCAAAAATTATCTGCCTGCAGCAAGTCTATCAAAAGTTCTGAAACAATTTAATTTATGCTTCCTCATTTAGTCTGCCATTATTGAGTTTTCAGTGCTGTGTTTTTCAACTGGAAAATCTCATGTAATGAGTAGGATATGATCAGTAATTACTAAATAAATAGATCACATTGAATTAAAATCACAGAACACTATACTAATATAGAAGAATGTGTTATTTCTTAAACATTTAGTTTTTGGTTAAAATACAAATATGATCCTTTGGTGTAACATAAATAACATGTCTTAAAATAAGCTATAAAACCCAAAGAACTCAAAATCCTCAAATATCCTAAACTGGTAAACATGATCTTCAGTAATCTCAACAGGAAGACAGCGGTTCTTCATGCTTCACAAGGAATACCAAGAAAATGTTTACTTGTATTTGAAAAGAAAAATCTCGTTGTTTAAAAAAAAAACAATTGATCTTATAAGAGAAAATTCAATGTTTATGGTTCCAGTTACTATAATCCAGTCATAATTTGAATTGATTAGATTGGATTAAACTGGACTGGGAGGGATATAATGGGCTAGAGTGAATTGGCCTGGACTAGAATGGGCTGGGCTGGGCAGGGCTGGGCAGGGCTGGGCTGGGCTGGGCTGAGCTGGGCTGGGCTGGGCCGGGCCGGGCCGGGATGGGATGGGATGGGATGGCATGGGATGGGATGGGATGGGATGGTTTGGGTTGGAATGGAATGGGGTGGGCTGACTGGGTTGGATTGGATGCATCCCAGGAACACTAGGTCTTTGATTAAGGAACACACAACCTTGGCTCTTTCTGGGAACTCATGGAATGGAATGGAATGGAATGGAATGGAATGGAATGGAATGGAATGGAATGGAATGGAATGGAATGGAATGGAATGGAATGGAATGCTTTTAGAGGATTCTTGTTATCTGTGGCTTTAGAGTTTCCTCATTCGTGGTTCATCTTGAATGCAGAGCACTTAGGAAAGTAATCTTTTTCTGTGTGACAAAATGTGATGTGCTCTTATAGCTTTTAATGACAAAAAGGAAGTTGTTCATTTACTGTCTGGTCACTAACTTACTTCTTCAACCTTATGTAAGCATCTAAACATTTAGAAAGAACCAGAAGAAATTGTCTTGCCCTGCTCCCTTGTCAATTGAAGCAATCACTAGATAATGCCCCAGATAGTGTCCTGCCTCTGCTTGAACTCATCAAGAAAGTAAATTTGCTGCTTCAAAAGGCAATCCATTCCAACAGACTTATTGACTGAAACCTTTTCCTTTGCATTAAGAAAATTCTGTCTCCTTGATCCCAAATTATCCTATTTGAGATGTAAAGGATGTCTAATCCCTTTTCCAATGACAGCTATTAACAGTATCTGAAGGCAACCCTCAAGCCTCTTTTCTTTTCCAAGCTAAATATTTTCCCTTCTATTACCATGTCTAGAATTTTGCACACATACAGAGAGAGAGCCCATACACACACATATACCACACAAATGCACACACATATCACACACACGTACACAC